TTTGAAATATAAAAACAGACCTAAGACTGTTAAACAAATGTTAAGAAATGTTAAACCTATATTATGTACATATATAATGTGGAGATTTACAATTTCAGACAATCAGGAAATTAGTAAAAAGTTGGCATTTAAACCAATAAAAAATTACCTATTTAAACAAATTCCAACCATTATATGCAGAACTGATATAAAAATGGTGATACCAAAATATTTTTAATAGTAAACGCGTTTTGCTTTAATCTTAAACATTATATGGGTAAACATGTAAAAACCTATCATTTTATGGTTAATTGAAAGTTTAATGGTTCTAAATAATATAATATGTTTACTTAGTTATCATTATTTATTTGTTGTAAAAATAATTATTTTTCAGAGAACCATTCTCAAATTTATAATTGTCATAAACATATAAATGTAACTAAAATATTGATGAAGTTCAATAAAAATAACAATTGTTTGGTTATGACAACAAAATACTGTTACAAAAAACATAGAATATTGTCCTAACCATGCCGAAACATGTTTTTTCTCTGCGTGTACGTTATGTATTTTTATACCCTCCACCACCATCAGTGGTGATAGAGGGTATATATAAGTTTGTCGTTCCGTGTGTAACACAAGGAAATATTCATCTAAGACAACAAAGTATATATATTCTGTGTCTTTATAAAATTCTGAGTCGATTTTGCTATGTCCGTCTGCCCGTCTTTCTGTCTGTCTGTGTAAAACTAAGCAAAAGAAATCAACCGAATTCACCCAAAATATTTATTATTATCCTAAGCAGTTTGGTATTGAAAATCAGCAAAATCCGTTCATAACGTAAAAAGTTATGAGTAAATATTTCAGACTACCTCGAAAAAAATTACGTTTTTTTCATAATTCTTTTGAAGTTTTCTCAGAAACTACCAAAGATATTTCGATGAAATTTACCACACATTATTTTTTTAAGCCAGTGATCAATTATGTTCAAGATCTTTACAATCGATCGAATATTTCACATAGTCCCCATACAAAGGTATATATTCCCGGAAATTAGTTTATCGTTAATAACTCCCTCAAATATATCGGTATCAACACAAAATTTTGTACATACAAATATAATATGAACAGAAATCATACTGTTAACGTAGATCTCAGTCGGTCCACAATTGGTCATGGCTCTCATATAAGGTCTACTTCCGAAAATCACCTAAACTCACATATTTCATTGATGAATAATGCTTTTGTGATAAAATTCGAGTTGAATATGTTTTGTGTATATTCAAATCATTCCACCAAATTTTTTACGGATCGGTCCATTATTGGTCATAGCTCCCATATAAGGCCCACTTCCGAAAATCATTTAAAAGCTCATAATTTATTGTCAAATAAGCTATCTTGATAAAATTCGACACAAATATGTTTAGTCTAAATATGAATCACTTTATGATTAGACATACATAGTTCCCATATAAAGTCCACTTCCGAAAATCACTGAAACGCATATATTTCATTGAATTATAAAGCTATCGGGATAAAATTCAACACAAATCAAATTATTCCACCAGCTTTTTTTTCCGGATAGGCTCATAGATCCCATATAAAGTCCACTTCCGAAAATCACTTAAACGCATATATTTCATTAAATTCTAAAACTATAAGGATAAAATTCGACTTGAATATATTTTATGTACATATACATCATTCTACCACTTTTTTTCCCGGATCGGTCCATTATTGGTCATAGCTCCCATATAAGTCCCACTTCCGAAAATCACTTAAACGCCCATATTTAATTGTCAAATAAAGTTATCTTGATAAAATTCGACACAAATATGTTTTTTCTTTATATGAATCACTCTACGAAATTTTTTCCCGATAGGCTCCCATAGAGGGTCCACTTACGAAAATCAGTTAAACGCATATATTTCTTTGAATAATAAAGCTATCGGGATAAAGTACGACTTGAATATGTTTTGTGATCTACCAAATTTTTTCCGCATTGGTCCATATATGGTAATAGCTCTTATATAAGGTCTACTTTAAAAAAATCACTTAAACGCACATATATCATTATCAAATAATGATATCTTGATAAAATTCGACACAAATATGTTTTGTGTAAGGTCATAGCTCTTATACATATAAAGTCCACTTCCGAAAATCACCTAAACGCACATATTTCATTAATTAATAAATCTAGTGTAGTAAAATTCGACTTGAATTTTTTTTTGGTATATAAATCATTATACGAAATTTTTTCCTTATTGGTCCATAATTGGTCACAACTCCCATATAAGGACCATTTCCGAAAATTACTTAAATGCACAATCAAAGTTATCGGGATAATATTCGACATAACTGTGTATTTTGTATATATAAATCATTCTACGGAATTTTTTTCCGGATCGGTTCATAGGTTGTCTTAGTAGGTATACTTCTAAAAATCACTTAATACCACTTAATTCGTAATTAAATTATTGTATCCGGATAAAATTCAAAATGAGTATGTTCTGTGTACAGATAAATCATTATATTAAAATGTTTTCAAACTGGCCTATTAATATACAATTTTCTCGACCTAATTAAAATTAGTTTGACATATGCATAAATGTTAGTACCCTCAATACGTTATCTAAAAAATGAGATAGTTAAATGGGTTTTAATAAAAAGTAGCTTTGCTGGTGGAGAGTATTTAAGATTCGGCATAGCCGAATATAGCACTCTAACTTGTTATGTATATATTTTTGGTACTTTTTTTCCAGTGAAATAGCAAATGTTTTGTTTCAATAAATATTACAGATTTAATAGGTATACGTCAATCAAGAACGACTGCATTTTAAAAAAGTACGAAACAGATGTCTCATAATTTTGAAAGATATATTCAAAATATTTAAAAAATTGTATTACGTTTATTAGTTAAAAAGTTATAAAGAACCAAAAAAGGTACCAAAATCAGTTTTGTTACACATTTTTCACTCCTTAAAAGTTCGAATTTTAAAAAAAGTACCAGAAACCCATCTGCTTACCCAGCAGTTCGACAAAGAGTCAATTCATACGAAAAAGACAGTAATTTCCACTAATAGTTAACCACCTGGATGATCGTAATTCGTATGTTTTGGGTCATTCGTCACGAATGTACCCTTTGTAATCGAGAATGAAGACAGTCGTCACTTTAGTGTCCTCTTTGTAAGCGGGAGCGGAGACAGTCGTCTTTTTACTGTCCTCAAGTAACTTAGAGATTATACTCTTAAAAGTTTTTTTTTACTTCCGAAAGACAATCGTCACTTTAGTGTCCCCTTTGTAAGCGAGAGCAGAGGCAATCGTCTCTTTACTGTCTCTTTGTAGGGTGTAGAGTGACGATTGACTTCCTCGTAGGACAAGCCCATGTTAAAATGGTCGGTCACCTGGGTAGTCAGGTGGCTAGGGGCCACCACGAGTGGTAGGTTAAGTGGTCAGTTCGGGAGTGTCTCGTCGAACTGCTGGGTATTTTAAGAGTAGATACAGGTGCATTTAAAATTACGTCAAAATTTCATGATTCTAGGTTCAGCCGTTTGGGTGACGAATCAGTCAGTCAGATTATATACATATGTATATAGATTTTCCATTTTGTATTAAAAAAATTTTAAATTTTTGTTTAGAGTAAATATGTATCGATAACTTTTGTCGCGGAAGCTTTTTTAAAGCATAGGAAAACGAGACATACTTTTTCTACGTATTTTTTATACTCTATGTAGAATGCATTGGGCCGATTTGAAATTTTCAAAAATTGTATAAAAGTATTTTCCAGCTAAAATAAAAATCAACACATTACATTTATGGTGAAATTTCAGCTACATACCATATATTTAACTTTTTGGAATAAATTAAGAACATTAATAAAAATGACATTATAATTTAACAAATGCATTTGTGTGTTAAGTTATTAATAGAAATACTAACCGAAAAATCCCCAAACAAAAATTTTGTAAATACCCTTATCGAGTTGAATAGCCGAATTTTATTAAAAAGAAAATTAAATTTACATCGCAGTTTATTTTTTTTTTTTAATAAATAAATAAATTAACTGGTCTGATTTTTACAATTACAATTCTTATTATTTACACGCTGATTTAGTTACAATAATGTGGCCAAAAGACAAATAATATTATAAGACAGATAGTCATAAAATAAACCCGTTAATAGGAATCAATAAAAAAAAATAAAAATTTCAGTTCAAATTTATTTTTAAATATGTATTATTTTAGTTTTGTATTAAGTAATTGCATAACTGTACAAATCTTTTCGGAATCATCCATTAATTGTAAAAAATTTAAGTTTTTCAGAGTCTAAGAATGGATTTTTAAGTTGACGATTAAAAGCCACTTAATAATTAGATTAGTTAATCTTAAATCAATTTTAATATAATGTTGATTGATACCCTATGCTGTTTTTGAATACTTCCAAAGACGGACTCAGAAAGTCATTCTCAGTCCGATTGATATACTTAAAGGTGGGACCATTACAAACACCAGCACAAATCCATAATACCCCACTACAGTATAATTTAATTACTAACACTAAACTACAAGTCAAAATATTTTATTTATTGCACCCGCTGATAATCCGTTAACGTCAAAAGTTGTATCTTATATGTATGTATGTATATGTGTTTTTGATTTTGGGTGTCTAGTACGAGTAGATACTAAAACAATGAATGCAGTTTTCGCAATTTCAAAAGTTTACTAATATTTATTACGGTTATAAATATTAAATTCAATAAAAAATTTAACGTTTTTATAAAAGTTAAGGTTTACACTTATTATAATTGTATTACATAATCCCCAATTATATATGTAATTCTATAATGATATTCCTTGGGTCGTTTTCTTTTAACAATTTGTGCTCCATATTCTTCAAATATTTTTAATTTAAATTTTCCACTATGTTAAATACTTAATTATTATTGAATTTGACATTATTAAACCAAAATATTTAAATTAGCTAATTACATAATAATATTAAATTTTTCTTAAACTTACCAGAGTGTTCCGTATCTAAACTTTGGTCCATTTTAATAAGAATTTATATAGAAAATTATATATTTTTAAATAAATTAAAACTCGTCACTTTTTTTCAAATATTCTAAACAATATTTGCACTTTATTTTAATTCGTTCTCGAAAATATTCGGCTTTTACTTTATTTTTATTTCAATATTTCTCAAAAATTTTTCGAATTTCGTTATTAATTACGTTTTATTTCTTTAAATTCCACAAAAAAACTTAATTATTTCTTTCATAAATAAACTGGCCGTTACAAAATATAAATGAATGCACATTCAATTTAAACGTATTTAACGGAATCAATCACTGAGTGCACACTATGCAAACGTCCGTATGCGTTACTTTACGTACGATTTTAAATAAATTAAAATGAGAGCAACAGGAACAAAATTGAGTATAGACCGATTGCCACAAGAGCCAAATGGACAATGTGATTCCAATTGTATGTTTAAAGTTGGAACAGTACTATTTTTACTTTACTCCAGAAGTGAATTAATATCCGCGCAAACGCTATCAAATGGGAAGACTTGATTATTTATATTCTATTTAACATACAGTCAGTGACAAACAAATTTCCCATTAAGTTGAAATTTGCTAATGATGATTTTTAAAATTTCAGTAAAAAGTAAACGAATTTCTTTCAAAATGTAAATTTTTTGTTTGAAATTTTAAAAAATTATCCTATAGTAAATTCTTTTAAAAATATTGACATATTACTATGATTATGAGATAATGCCAATAACCTTTTGTCCGTTTGTTCTGTCAATATAACATCCCAGCAAAAACATGGTAATGACTACATATTATATACCGTCTGCATTACTTAGAGAGAGTCTAGTAATGACTTACAAATCTATATATATATATAAAAGAGGACTGATTCATCATCGCACAGTCCAAAGGGCTGAACCAAGAATCATAAAATCCCACTAATGAGGGATTTTTGGAAACTTGTACATTTAAGGGTGAAAAGGGTAACAACGGGTAAAACAGGTTTTCTCAATTATTTAAACAATATTAGTGATACAAGAAAAATTTTAAATGCACCTGTATCTACTAATGCTGTAATATACTACTACTTTTTATTACACAATACTACTCAATACTTTTCGTTTGGGTACTCAATACTACTCGATACTTTTAACGGTTTTATTTTAAATAAAAAACGAGGAATTTTTCTTTTTTTAAGTAAAGTTAGACCAGACATCACACCTCTTTTGAGACATTTTATTTTTTTTAGATTGCGTCAATAAATATTTGTAACTTTTTAACTATTATTGCAGTTTTTAAATTATTTTTACATTGATTTGATATTGCTAAGAGTTGCATTTCTAATAATGATATGATCTGTATTAGTTGTAGAGCTGTATTTGTTCACATCATAGCCCTTAAATTTAAAGAAGTTAAATCCATATACAAGCCTGAAAGTATTGAGTAACTACTTTTTAGTATTGAGTACCCAAAAAATAGGACAAATACTCGATACCCACTACTCAATACTTTAACAGCACTAGTATCTACTCTTAAAATAAGCAGGTGTTTGGAACTTTTTTGAAATTCGTACTTTTAAGGGGTGAAAATGTGTAACAAAAGTGAAAATGTGTAACAAAAAGGGGGAAAACGGGACATTTAAACTTATTGAGTCAGTTTTTATTAAATTTGAGAAAAGTTAATTTACTCACATAAAATATGCTATATTATTTATTATTATTTATTTTATTATTTTGGAATTCGGGCACTTAGCCCTATATAGGACCAAATTCCGGTTAATTGTTTGGTACTTTTTGAAAGCACAATTTTTGTGGAACAACTGAATGCAGATTTGAATCGTTTGAGTTTTATCTGTGATATATAGAATTAAATACCGAATATTTAGTGAATTTAATTCTCGAAAAAGTATATTCCTATGTGAATTTTTGTAGTAGGTACTTTAAAAAAATTCCACTTTTGTTACATTTTCTTTCTTCAAATGAAACTATTTGTATGTTCTATAATATGAATCCAAAACACATGATTATTTAACATACACGGTCCTTTTTGAATAAGATTCTTTAAGAGAGAACTTGTCAGTACTTCTTATCTCCCAAATGGTACTTTTTGAATTTTATAAAATATTCAACTTACCCCCGTTAACACCAACTCCGGTTATCGTTTAACCGGTAGATATTCGGCCAGTTAAAATAATTTTTGTATGAAAACTGTCAATTTAACCTTACGATAAAATATAACCAGACATTGAGATAATGGGGATTAGAAACATAACTTGGAACATGCATGGTCCTGACTGAATAATAATCTATAAGTGGAACTCTTTGGTACTTTTCCATTCTTCAAATGGTACCTTTTGGATTCTCTATAATTAAATGAGAATTTATTGAGAGAGATTTTTGTACATTTTGTAAGTTTTACAAATGGTACTTTATGAATTGTTTACGATATTGAACGTTGAAATGTATATTTTAACATTTAGGGACCTGAGGGAATGAGAATCTAAAGAAATAGTACTTTCGAAATTTTCTATTTCGTGGAAGCGAAACGAATGAAATTTATTTACTAAATGCAAATTTATTCACGTGATTAATTTCGAAATTATTGAACATAAAAAAACAGTAAGTGCTTACCTAACTCCCTACTTGTAACCGAGCGTGGTAAGTATTTGCCTCCAATGTCATCACCAGGTTAATATAATGACCTAAAATGCTATTGGTGAAGTAAATTTTAGAAATTTAACCCCTTTCTTTTCAATGTTAGTTTATGCTGGTAAGTTTTCAATTATTTTACATTAAAGTAATATTTTGCCAAATTATAACTAAACTTTTTTTGTCGTCGATGGTATGCAATATGTACTAGTGTTGGTAAGAGGGTGTACATGTATTTAGTTGAGATGAGAAGAGTACTTTCGCATGAATTGTTTTCTGTGAAATTTTGGTGGTTATTTTTTTGGTCCATAATAAAAATACTGAAGCATTCCGCTAGCATTTTGCTATTTGTTTATTATTGTTTTAAATGAAAATTTGTTTAAAATTTTTTATAACCATTTAAAAATATGAATGAACGATATGGTGGTTGGCATGTGAGTGCGTGTGTGTTTAGAATCTAAAAGGTGATGATGATGAAGAGTATTAAAAAAATCTTTTTGTACGCCTAATGAAGTGTGGCCAGTCAAGTGGTTGTGATTGTTTTTATATGTCCACATCCACCTCAAACCAATAAAAAATACATTTTAACCAGCCTTTATCTCTCTACCCTAAAATATGTACCTATGTTGTCAAAATTAAAGTTTAAATTTAATCAATTTACAGGTAATATTTACATTTTTACAATGTTTATTTTAATTTAATTCAAAAAACATGATGTAAAATAAAATGATTTATACAAAAAATTATTTAAAATAAATAAAATACAAAACACTTATATGCACAAATATGTACGTACAACAAATACAAACAAATGTATACAAAGATCTTGAGAATAAATTCAATATCTCTGCAACTTAACGCTTGACAATGCTTAGAGCCTTATCCAAAGATAGGCCGAAAGGTAGGGCTTTCATTTTTGGAGGTGGCGTTGCCGGCAAAAGATAATACGCCAACCAATGTAACATTTGTAAGGTGAACTTTTGATATGTTACCGAATGGTTCCAACAATTCTTAAGACGATTTCCAAATGTTGCCTCCAAACATGTTTGCATTAGTTTTAATTCGCTTTCCAATGTTTCTAGGTCTTGTTTTAATCGATCCTCTCGGTTCTTAACTTCGCTTAACTCTTGATCTTTGGTTCTAAACGGGAAATTGAAAAAGTCGTATCTTGAAATTAATATCATAATTTTAAAACGATTTATTGACAAAAAATGATTTCTGTAAGATATATTTTTAACCCAGAGACCAAAATATACTTTTTTATGGGATTGAGCTGAATCCTGATTTTGATGTTGTGCCATCTGAAAGTCCAGTCTCTAAACTTCGAAATCCAGTTTTTTACCTTTGCTATTAATGTTAGTGTTTTCTTCTTCGAGATATCTTAACCTTAAGCTTGGAACAACCATAAATTCCCAAGAAAAGTTTTCAATACATTATATATAGTAGTTTTAAACTTAAGGTTAAGAAATCTCAAAGAAAGAAAAAAGTTATTCGAAGTTATGCTGAAGTTAGTTGACATACACAATTTTAATAATAAAGATGTCTTTGCGATGTTATAACATCTCAAAAATTGTCAAAAACGTAGGTTTTTAGGACATGGTATCTCGAAGACCTGATGTTATAGAGAAATTCTAAGGCAAAATTGTTTTCTATCCTGCGTAATTTGATAAAATTTTGTAGATAGATTTTTGTTCTCAAAAATTCGTTTACGTCGAATTTCATTACGTTTAAGTATTTTACTAAAAGGGACTTTACATGGGGTCTTGCCCAATTTTCGACATAATTTAAAATTTCAATATAAGGCTTATCGATATATATTTGTGGAAATACTATTTTTTGAACAGACAGACATGGCTAGATCGTTTAAGTATATCGATGGGTTTTTCTTTCAATTTCTAAAATTTCTACCACTTGGACCAGCATAATTTATTAACTACTCACCTTTTCAGTATTTTAATTTGTTCTTGTGCTTCATTTAGTTTATTCTTTAGTTTGGAGAATTCATTACTTTTCTCTTGGATTTCACTACGTAGTCCATCTTCTTTTTGCAACGCTTCACTGTTCAGTTCGCAAATCTAAATAAAAAGAATAAATTTAGATAAAATAAGAAATACAACAACATATTATACCTCATTGATCAGTTCGTTCTTTTGATTTTCCAATGTTTGAATTTTACGCTGTTCCATGGATAATGAGGCTTGAAGTTCTCTTTGAACTGTCATACTTTTGAAGAGATCTGACTTCGTTTGTGTTAGTAAGGTATTGAGACTTTCGAATTCTTGTTCTTTAATCTGTAATTGTTGTTCGAGCAGAGCTTTATCGGCCTTAAGGCTAATCAAAGAAGTTGTCAAACTTTCGCATGAGGATTTTGTAAGATTTATATCATCCAATGATCTTTTCAATTGACAATTGAGTTCATCGTTGCGTTTCTGCTCAACCCGAAAGAGTGTGTTAAAGACATGAAGTTGATTTTTGGCTTTTATAGACTAGAGAATGATATTAAAAGAAAAAATATTGAAATTATGTCTAAAATATAACTTACACTACGTTTCAAATCCGCCACTTCTTCCATTAAATGTTTAACTTCATCACGTCTCTTGCGCCAGGCATTTAACATAATTGTAGCAAATATTCTCATGCCTGCCATTTGGGGATCACGTTCAGGCCTTGTCAAGAAGTAGCTGTCCTGATTATACAATTTATGAACAAATGAATTTTGGGGATAAGCCACTGTCCTATTTTCTCCACTAGTGTCTGCTGGTAGTAGAGCTTTGCTATTCCCAACAGAGTCTTTACTGAGATGCATTGGGGATGTAGAAATTGATAGGTTGTTCATTTGGCGTTGTACATGTCTAAAATCCATTTGCGAAATTGATTTTCTCTGACGAAATGCGAAAATAATTCCGGACTTTTGTCGTACTAAGCACGATCTACTACTGATTTTTGTTTCCAGTTGGATTTCAGCTCTTGGTGTCTTGACAATGGGGATTAATGGTGATGGCAAGGAATCGTTTGTTGTAAGCGAAGTGTTCGATGAAGATGGTGTAAGTGCCAGACGTCTTGGTATGTAAGATTTCTGTTGCAATACGCTTGTTGCCTTCTGTTGAGAGCTTTTTAACAAATTTTAAATGTTTTTTATTTTTTATTTTTTAAACTCTATACTTTTTCTGTTTATCTTCACTTTTAATTAAATTTTACAACAAATACTTGTTATAGTAAAAACGCGCTTTTATCCGAAATATTTATCTTAAACGATGACTTAAATTTTTTAGTGTTTTTTAGGTAAAAATATTATTAAAAACTTAACAAAATTTTCAAAAAGACGAATAATTTTCAAATAAAAACAATCAAAATTTAAAAATATATTCGTCTGTTGCTGTGAAAATTTTTGAAAACTACTATTCTAATGTCAAATTATTACAAATATTTTGTGTCGATCTTTGATAATAATGTCAGAATATGATGCTTACCCTAAAGGTCTCATTTGGGTTTTCCTTTGAAATCTTCTTCCATAGGATTTTCGCAATTTATTTTTGCTCTGAGATTCCACAGAGTATTTCTTCTTGTTAACATCCAATTGACGATCATCGTTGTGGCTGTTGGTAGATCGATCAGTTACTTCTGCGGATGTTGATGAATTTTCCATTTCACTGCAATTCTCCGAAGGTATTTGAAGTGGTGGTATTACTACATGTACTTCCGGCATTTTAGTTTTATTTTATTTGCAATTAATTGTTAGAGAAAAGTGTTATTTAGAAATAAATATTTTCATGAAAATTAATTTCAAGTATTTTACAAATTAATTTGTTTGTTTACTTTGATTTTATTGTTTTTTTTTTTTTTTTTTATAAAATCAACAGTAGTATGATTAAAAATTCAATAAAATAAAGACGCCTCAAAATTAAGCTAAGTAAAAACTGAGTTTTTAAGAAGATCTCAAAATCCTCAAGATACAAAAAATCAAAATCGACCTTTTACTCATTATGATGAACCGTATCAAAGTACATGTTCCTATAGTTAAAACTAATGTCTCTACCAAAGAAACTCTGAAAGGACCACGGGAACTAGTTAAAAATTCAGTAACATAATTTGAACTTTCGAGTGTTGTGCGTTTTCATTGAAAATCTTAGTGCTTGCCAAATTTCATACTATTCAGGCTACGGAAACTGCTTCAATATTGAATTACAAATTTTGAACCTCACTTTATTTTAATGTAACTTACGGTCTTTTCAGTTTTAGACTTTAAATAAATAAACTTAACTTCAAAAAATGATTTAAATATTTTGAAGTCGCTATAATAATCTTTAAATCATAAGGATTTTTAAAAGATATTTTAAATATTGAAAGTTTTGTTGAAAAAAATTAGCACAGCCTAACAAAATCAAGGTATGTAAAAACTTTTAAAACCAATTCGACTTAGTTTAATGTACCTTTACCCATTGAGAAACCCTCTCTCTCTATGCTTTCAACTGCTGAAATCTAATATCATGCAAAATGGCATTGAATATTTAATTCATATATTGCAGACATTTTATATAATTATTAGCTATACCCAGTGTGCTTTGCTACCCTAAAAACCCCACTTTACGATTTTTGAAGATTTTAGTTTTATTAGTTTCCCAGTTGTACGAATTTTTATTTTAATTAATATGTGCCTATGTCTACATGAATGTGAAAATTCTTCGTGCAAAATTTGAGAATTCTAGATTCAAATATATATTCACATGTCAGATTTGTTAGCGAAAAATTTAAGGATTTTAGCTCAAATAGTTTCTCAGATATACAAATGTTAGTAATTAATTTTTATGTGAGGTTCCAAGAACCCCAAATAAATGTCCGCACATTTTTCTTCCTAATGTTCACTTTTATGTTAATTTTAAGATACTACCTCTAATAGTTTCCCAGATAAACGATTTTTTTATTTAATTCATATGGGAGGATACCTCCCATACATACATATATATACATACATACATACATGTACATACCAACACACATTCATTTGTACCCAGTAGGATTTTGAGTTATCTTAAAACTAACTTATGGTTAACCACAAATGAGTCAGAGGTGACTCAAAAGCTAACCATTTTGCTTATAAAATACTATTCAGTTTTTCAATGTGATGTCATAGGAACGAGTCAGTACTCACTCACTATACATCAGTTTCAGTTAACCAGAAGTTACCTCAAGATGAGTTAGCTTCTAGTGCATAAATAAAAGATCAGCTGTGAGTTACCTGTGCAATTTTCTTATATTTTTATACTATTTTTAACAAATTGTTAGTGATTATAAATGCGTTCAATATGCAGCAACATTTCCTTCCTATATACACCATAATCTGTGTCTTATATTCCTGAAAATGTTAATTTAATAATAATAAATTCATTTTTCATTGCTGAAACAAATTTTCATTTTCATAATTTCATTTTTTCAATACAAATTGTTTGACAAATTTGATACGAGTTTCTATTTTATTTTTTATTTAAAATTTTATTGAAATGTTTGTTCATTTCCTCGATCATTTTTGAGTTACTTTGAAGCTAGTCATAAGAAGTTATCAAAAAGTTAACTTGATTTTTAGTTAACTCACAAAATCCTACAGGGTATATACATCAGATGTATATATTATATAGATAAAAATATATTTACTTTTAATAGTTAATTTCGATTTTTTGACGTCAATTTAAACACGGGTCTTTATTATACATATGTATATTTTACCTAAGTTTCATCTAAATTTTTTGAAATCAATAATATTTCACTACGGTTTGAAGAAAATTTCCCAATATTGCATAGCTTGAGTTAAATCTTAACAGTTTATGGGTTAACATTATTCGATTTTACTAAAACTTCAGAAGTGTGTTCCTTATTAACAGAAATTTTATATTCTGGAAAGCTTTTATAAAAATGCACAACAGTGAGGAATTAATGCTTATTTTCAAAAATAAAACCAAGAAATAGTTTTCTCCGAAATCTTCAAAATTGAAATTGAAGATACCACTAATCTGTGACAGATATTGTCCTAATTTTTTACGAATTTATTCCCTTAGAGCGGGTTTTTGAGATGGTAATCAAATGCCAATTAATAATCAGATTAGTTAATCTAAAAATAAATTAAATCTTATGTTAATCCCCTTTGATGTTTTTGAGTACAAGATTAAACTTCGCAGTGTTGCCATACAAAACAACAGAAAACTTCACTGTTTGTTATCAAAACAATGAATATTTTATAAAAAAGAAGTAGACAATTGTAAATTTAATATGAAAATTAATGAAAACTTAAATTAAAAACAAAACAAGTAAGAGTGTTATATTCGGCTATGCCGAATCTTATATACCCACCATCAAATCTCGTTTGACTCGAATGAAACTTACTTATGTCGAATTTCATTTATATACTCGTATACTTAGGCCAGTTATAAGCGTTAAAGTAATTTTCTGATGGGGACCTTATATAGGGGGGTAGGGTCAATTATGGGTCGATCCTCTTAAAATTTGGTAGACAGAATTTGGTTCGTATTAAATTTATTTGTGTCGAATTTCATCGCTACACTCGTATTTTTAAACCATTAATGAGCGTTGCAGACATTTTCTGAAGAGGACCTTATATGGGGGGTAGGGTCAATCATGGACCGATCCTCATAAAATTTTTTAGATAGATTTTGACTTGTATGAAACTTACTTATGTCGAATTTCATCTATATACTAGTATTTTTAAGCCAGTAATGAGCGTTTAAGTCATTTTTTGAAGGAGACCTTATATGGGGGGTAGGGTCAATTATGTACCGATCCTCATAAAATTTTGCATAGTGATTTTGGATCATAAGAAACTTACTTATGCCGAATTTCATCGCTATATTCGTATTTTTAAAGAAGTTATGGCTGTTAAAGCTGCTTTTCGAGGGGCCACTTGTATGGGGGCTATCCGAAAATGTGGACAGATATTGCCCATTTTCAATACCAAACAAACCTTACCTATAAGAAATATTTATGTGAAATTTCAACCCTCTAGCTCTTTCCATTCGGACTCTATCGTGCTTTCAACAGGCAGACAGACAGACGGACGGACAGACATGGCTAGATCGTCTTAGAATTTAATGAGGACCCAGAATATATATACTTTTGTGGGTCTATGACCAATATTTCGATGTGTTACAAATGGAATGACAAAATCAATATACCCCCCATCTTTTTTGATAATAAAGTTGGACTTGTTCCATGTTGTTGCGGAATGCGTTATCCGTATAATATGACATGAACTCTTTTACTGCATGGTTTTGCCGACATATTTACGCAAAACGCTATGGATTTTCTGATGTTAATTTAATAATATTGGTCGATAAAATCAAGTTAAAATCTTTGTATCACGTCGGAATGGAATATTTATATATAAAATTAACTAAATTAACGTATTGAAGGTGCATAAAGAGTCACCTCAGTTTTTGAAATATATAATTTTAGTCCTTACAAACAAGAACACTTTTGCTTACAATTTGACAAACTTAAATCTGGTATAAGCTTGTCTTTGAATTATGAAATGTTGCCTAACTTCATACTCCGGAATACCAGTATCCCTTATTTAATTGTAAGACAGATCATTATCCGTCTGAAATAAAAAAACATTGTTTCACTACATATACTGGAAATAAAAATTACATATCAGGCAATATCTTACTTTATAAAAGTGATACAATAAATTTTGTTTATTCATGGCTTTTTTCGTTTGTCTTCGCGGACCCCCTAGGATTTTACTACGGACCACTAGGGGTCCACGGACCCCCATTTGGTAACCGTTGGACTAGGCTATATACAAGACTATAGCCTAGTCTATAGTCTATCCTATAGTCTAGTCTATAGACTAGACTATAGGTAATTCACTGGTAGCTACTGTGACTGAAATGATCAAATAACAGTTACTTGCAATGTCGTTCTTTTGAATTTTTACCTTCTAAAATTCATTTAATTTTTATTGAACCAAATACGTATTACAACATAGTATTCGAAATTTTTTCATATAGTAAACACCTCTTGATGTCTGATGTCACCAATTTTATTTTGTTCAGTAATATTTATGTATATATTTAATATAAGACCCAATAAAATACGTTGTTATTGGATCGCTCATCTCTAGTACAGACTAGATAAATGATAAATGTTTTAATTATGTACATGATCCTGTTTATTATATTTTCAAAACAAGTTAAATAAAAAATTCTTATTTGTTCTAACATCTTTATTTTGCCATTTAAGAGAAACAGATCAACGTTAAACAATGTTTTCTTTTTTTATTTATTTTTATTTCAATTTGTTGTTTCATCATCATTAATTATTTTTAAATAAGTATTATTAATTTTAATGTAATTATTTATAATATTCCATTGCCTAAACAAAATCTATAAATACTTAAATACAATGAAAGAATTTAGAACAATGAAAAATTGCTACAAAAAATTAAGTGAAGAGGACAGGGGTGGGACGGACAGAGGAGGGATGGGGAGTTGGTAGGTTAGGGTTAGGAAACTGAATAACTTAAATAATCACTATGTTGATATTGACAGATTTGAAATCTGAAGGTCTTCTGAGTTAAGTCGCAACATTTGTTGATCCTCGGAATTGATGCGAACTAATTGCTCGCTGTCAAAGGTTAGAAGATTACTGAGACCATGTTCATTATTGTTGTTGTTATTGTTATTGGTATTAGTGCCATTGTTAGCATTTGTCACCGCTGTATTGGCAAGACCGCCATTATTATTAGTTGCCACAGCATCATTTCCAGTTTGATGCTGTTGATATTGCTGCTGCTGTTGTTGTT